CATTAATCTTTTTGATACCATTTCATGTAGAATTGGCATCTTTCAATAGTAGATGTAATCTTTTAATACTAATTAATGTGATAATAAAACAAGAATTCTTCAAAAAATAATAAATAACAAATAACAATTCACCTGTTATGTAAGTTGTTATTGAAACATTGGGATTGTAGGTGGGATCTTAATTGACATTTTTCTTTTTATTAGTGCTCTAAATAATTAAGCCATTTCCTCTAAATTATTACTATGACTAACTGAAATAGCATCATGAGCTACGGCATGGATGAGACCTAAACTCAAAGAGTGCGGGTTGGATCGTGTATTATATAAAAAAAAAAAAAAAAAAAAAAAAAAAAAAAAAAAAAAACAACTTGTTTTATCTTTTGTACTTTTTCCCTGAATAACTTGTTTTGGATTCCTTTATACCAATCCATTAACATTTTTATTTTGTTAAATATAATATTCCCATGACTTGTTTTATCTTTTGTACTTTTTCCCTGAATAACTTGTTTTGGATTCCTTTATACCAATCCATTAACATTTTTATTTTGTTAAATATAATATTCCATAGGTTTCATTGAGACAAGAATGTGTTGTTTTGGAAATTGATGAGAGAGTCAGTCACTATGCCTAAGTACTAATTAGCACGAGTACTACTGATTATGTGTTATATATATATTTTAGAATATTTCTTCTCATTAGCTTTTGTATTCAAAAACAAGTAAAACTCGAACATCTCCTACTTACCATGTTTTTTTCCTTTTGTTTAAAAACACAGACACGCACACATATATAGTTCTAAACTGTAGTTAATTAGAACATGGTATGAACTTTTATTTTATTTAGTCTTAACAAAACGGTTTTAAAATGAACACAAATACACGTGTTCGGATAAATTACCATATGGTATTGAAGAGAGCAAATAATTTGTTTCTTGTGGTCGTATAGATAAACAATTAGTTTCACATGTTATTAGTTATGAAGCCCATGGAACATTTTTCTTCTGATTTTTGTGTATATATGTAAATATAATTATACATTCCAAATTCGACGAAAGAGAAGGGCGAAAGTGCGTGTAGATGTCCAATTGCTGAAAACCAGAAGCAACTTTCATATAGAATGCATCTTTTAAAAAGCCACACCTGTCATTTTTTTTTAAATGTCTAACAAAACAAGGTTACTTAATTGCGCACAAATCCAGGTTTTTCCGAGCCCGTTTGGTTAAAGGATTCGTTCTCTTATTCGAATAATGATTTATGGTTCGTTACAGTATTTTCTCTCATAAAAAACACACATAAATCTCATGGTTCTAATCCATGAACTAAACGGACAATTTCCTCTCACTGTTTATATATATATATATATATATATATATAGTCCATAAATGACATTTTTTCACAAATGAATTGTAGGCTCATATAAACAGTCTAACTTTTGGGCCTTATGATATACAAAAAATATATAAAGAGGCCTGTTAACAAATTAAAATTTTTTAAGTTTAGACACATTTGTTCCTAACTGATTAATTTATAAACCAAACAACTCAGTACAACACAACAATAGCCAAAAAAGAAAAACCGGCTATTGTTTTTTGACTCAATTCTACAAAAGTTTCGGGCTGATTATTTTTTTTCCCTTCTACAAAACTTAATTGGGGGCCTTAATTTGAAGTGGAGCCTTAGGAAATTGCCTAAATCACCGAAGGGTTGAGCTGGCACTTATAAGCATGTAGCAAACAGCAATTAATGTGTTGACTCAACGAAAGTAAGCTAGCATTGTTTACAATTTTACATTCGTTCGCAGTTATTATATATATATATATATATATAAGAAAGTTAAAATCACAATTTATATGATTTTTTTATCACTCATTAACTTCTATATATGCATGGAACCACGTTGTTCAATTCACCAACTTATAAGGATATGTATACATGCGAAGGAAAATGATAAACGTTGTGAAAAAAAAAGTTTCGTAACACATAGTAGAATTAAATTATAACTTGGTAGCACTAAAAACGTTGGCATTAAATTGTAGAATTTGAATATATATATATATATATATTAATTAATATTCATCATATAATATTTGTATTATTGCTAATATATTTCTTTGTTTCAAAAAGCTCAAAAAGTAGACAACCTACGTTAGTATAAACTCTTGGACACTATCAAAGGAGTTATTTCAGATGCTAAAATGAATGTTTTTTTTTGAAGAATCTAACGGTGATCCCTATTGTCGATGAGTGCATCACTTAATCCCACCGAGTTAGCACGGAGTCAGATAGAAGACAGTGGAGGCACGAGCCCTATTAAAAAAATGAAAAGTATAATTATATATATTTATAATTATACTTTTTTTTTTGTTTTGCTAAAAATTTATATAGTTTTTTAACTAAGTGCTCCCACAAGTGAGATATCCCTTCCTTTTCTTGTTTTTGCTAAGAATTTTTCTTTTTCTTTTCATTTTAGTTCTACAATTTTTACTTTTTTTTAAACAAAAATTTATTTTACTCCTCCAGTTACACGTTTCTCTCTCTCCCCCATCTATATTAAAATAGGTATTTTTTACTATAATATATGTTTAATAATATTGATAATAAGGTTATTTTACAATGATTTTAAAACATGAAAATTTATAGAGAACAATTGTACTAAATTGTTATTCTAAGATATCTTAAAAATTTTATTTTATTTAAAAAAAATTAATTTACAAATTATCTTTAATTGTGCCCCACTTAATTTAAATTCTAAATCTGTTCCTGCTAAATCGAGTACATATCAAATCACGATAGTCCTTTACCGTTAAGCCAGCTGCACCACTGGTTAGTCTCCTAATATATGAAACATTGGGTGACCAGGCAGCGACAGTTTTACAAAACGGCATCTTTTTTGTGCTTTTAATAGCTTTGTCACGAGGGCCCGCGGAGTGGGGAGGAGGGGAAAGGGAAGAAATTCCAGCCACTTGCATCACAAAAACCTTTTACTCAACAGAGGGAGTGCCACGTGTCCAAAATGGATCTAGCGTATCGGGAATCCCAGCAAAACTATTCACAGCGAAGTTTCTATATCTCACGTGGCATCCGACGTGGCAGATTTTTTATTCCCCTGTGGGTACTCCTCTAATATCTTCCTTAGATATATCCATCGCTCCCTCACTTTTTTTTCTTTTCATTCTTTTCATTCCTCAACCAATAAAAACTGTTTATCAAAACAACTTTTAAATTATATATAGTAAAAGTTTTAAGTTCCACAGTTTGGTCCGGCAAATGTAATTTCGTTTATATTCTTTATGTAATAGTTTTCATAATTTTCAGTGTGTTAAGTGTAATACTCAATATTATGTGTTAGACTATATTTTTTAAATGTTATAGTTAAATGAACCAAGTGTTACATATAAAATAAAATAAAAAGACAATATCACACACCATTATGAAAAAAATTATATTTATTAGACTAATTCAACTGCAAGACACATTTTTTATATAAAGAAAGGAGACATTTAAATTTTTACTACTTATTCTGAATTAATATTTTTTTTTGTTTTAACTATATTAATTAAAATGATATTAATAAAAAAATAAGGAGTAAATGCAGACGCATGCACTAAGGCTAAGTTATGCACAATTTTCCCCATCTTATATATATATATATATATAGTGTATATAAATAACGGAAAAAACACAACAAAACAGAAATCAAAATGTCTTGAGCTTCAGAATAAAAAGAACTTCTGGTTTTCCAAAGTTTGAAATTCTCAGGCATTGGCGTTTAGGATTTAGCTCGAAATGGAGTTTGAGAGGTATTCTCTACCTCTCTCTCTCTATATTTATATATGCGTGTATTTATGTGTATGTATATACATCTGTACTCTCTGACGCAGAAGCAACGGGAGGGAAGATATTATTTTCTTCAGGCTTTTTCTTCTTGTTTGGCTGCTCGGAAAATTGGGAGGATTTTGAGTTGTTGCTGAAGCTTTTTCCTTTTTAAGTGAAGTAAACAAGGTTGAATCAACTATAGGTTTAGTTGAGTAAACTATATCTGATTTCCTCAAAAGTTTGTTTACGCTAATTTTCAGTTTCTTTTTTTTTTTTTTTTGGTTTAATCAGAAATTTCTTTTGAATTTCATGCTTAGAATCTTTTCTGATATTCTTTACTGAACTGGAAAGGCTTCTTTGAATGGATAATTCTCTATTTCTGGCAATTACAACATCTAATTTTTCTAGTTTTTTTTTTTTTTTTTTTTTTTTTACACATGCTTCTCTTCCCGTCTACAAAATCTGTATTGACTAATTTTGCTTCGTCGCTTGCAAACTTTTTTTCTTCAACACATATCTACTACATAAAAGCAAATATATGTTAAGAAATCGTAATAATTAACTTTTTTGTTACTTCCTTAAAAGCTGTAGTTTTGGTGACTATTTTTGGTTCATATATAATTTTCTATTTCAATAGACGTCTATTAGAGAAATTAGTTCAGAGTTCAGACAAAGAGTATATGTTGAGAATTAACTCATATTTATTCAAATTTTCTTATCTCCTCAAAAGCTGTATTTTTTGTTTTTTTGTTTTTGTTTTAAGGATCGCATGCTGTTGTTTTAGTAACTAATTTATGTTAATTTTTTTCTTAATACATATCTACTACAGAAAAATTGTCAGACAAAGGGGTAGATGTTGAGAATGAGCTCATATTAATTCTCCTCGACAGCTGTAGTTTTAGTGACTAATTTTGGTTCTTAGCAAATTTTTTTCTTCAACACTTACCTATTTAAGAAAAATAGTACAGAAAAAGGGATAGATATTGAGAATTAACTGGAGAACTTTTGTTCTTTTTAATGAGGAGTTCAATCTCCACTCACTTACCGTCATTCTTATGGTTGCGTGACGTAGGAGTTCTTTGTATTCTTTTCCTCTTTGATTTTTCAGGATCTGTTGAAGGGGATCAGTTAACCGAGGCTGAATCTTGTTGAAAGGGGATGTGCAAACTCTACCGTGGACTAGAGGGGTTTTTCTCACAGGCTCTATCCATTACTCTTCTCATCATTGATCTTATTGAATCCGAATGATGGGGATAAAAAAGATGAATAATGAAGTTTCCATAGCCAATGGAAGCGCCAGGTTGAATCACCATACTCAAGTCAAGAACAAGGAAACGAGGGATGGGTTGAGGGGAGAGGTCCAAGGGCTCTCAGAGGAACATTTTGAGTCTAGGATTAACGTGGATGTTCAGGATGTCAACAACGGGCAGATGGAGGCAATCCAGGTCCAGGACCGGGACCAAACCTGCCCTGCTCAGAGGAGGTCTAACCAACAGCCTCAAGGGCACTTGGTTCGTTGGGAAAGGTTCCTGCCTTTCAGGTCTCTGAGGGTTCTGCTGGTGGAAAATGACGATTCAACTCGTGATATTGTCAGTGCACTACTTAGAAATTGTGGCTATGAAGGTCAGTAAAATTTAGCAAAATGGAAGTGGTCTATGCATATCTGCGGTTGTGAACTATACTTTCTTTACTTTCCAACTTTTTTTTTTTTTGGGTGCAAATTTATTGACACTATCGATGATAACTGTGAACTACACATGATATTGTACTACTAATATGTGTGTGTGCGTGTGTGAATACTGTGTAAAACACAATGTTGAACATCTCTGTCTTTGGTCTAAGAAATTTGGTAAACTTGATTTTGAGTTTAATCATTGCAAGTTTGTCTTGTGCCATCGGTTTGTCTCCAATATGTGTGTGTGTGTGTGTGTGTGTGTTTGTGTATTGACTAGTATTTAACTAGTATTTGCATATATGTGATAAGACTAAGCCGTTGCTTAGGCAGGTCTTCGTTAGGAAGGGCAGGAGAGAATAAAGGGGTGTGGGCATGTATTAATTGTTGTTAGCAGTTAGAATTGTTAGTTTGTTAGCAGTTAGAAAATATAGAGTGTGAATAAGGGATGGGTCGGTGGAGGAGAGGGAATAAATAGAAACAGAGAGAAAGTGTCAGGGGCAGAAAAGAACTGGAGTCTTGTTGAGGAAGTCTTGGCTTAGGCTAAGCGGGGGAGGTTTCGCAGTACCTCGAAGAACTGCTCTGTAATTCGTTTTGGTGATTCAATAAAGATCATACCTTCATTCTTCTTGATTCATTTCTGTTTGAAGAAATTACTCTATTTTTATCATTTTCGTATCAGAGCAATAATTCTGGGCAATAATGGCGAGTAGGAAAACAGATGAACGGTTTGAATCCGTGGAGAAGGAGATTAAGGAAGTTAGGGCTTCGATGGAAAAAGGAATCGGTGAGATGGAGAAAGGGATCGGGGAGGTTAGGGCGGAATTAACTCAGAATCTTACGGAGTTCCGTTGGCTAATGGAAGAGCAGATGAAGTTGTTTGCGGTGCCGGCGAAAGCGCCGGAGAAGACAGGGGCTTCGATGTCCGTGGTGGAGGAAGATCGTGAGGTATTTCCGACCGGGGTCGTGGGGTCGCGTATGGCGGAAATCGCTAGGTTGCGCGCGCGGAACGAGGAGCGAGTGACGGGCCCTAGGGTTTTGCAAAATGTGATGTTACCGGCAGGAAATTATGGTTTGCGTGCACGGGGAGGAGATCGACAGGCGGACCCCAGGGTTTCGCGAAAGGAGGGAGGATGAGCGCGACGCCCGAAGAGAGGTTCCGATGGGTGCCCAAGGGGAAAATGTGACTGGGCGTCGAGGAGAGGGGCGTGGCGTTTTCGTGGAGTCTGATAATCATGGATTTCGCGATCTGCGTTGTGGTTTGGGTGTGGATGGTTATCAAGGAGTACGGTTCAAGGAGGGCTGGGATAGCAGAGGCATACTTGAGGAGTTGCCAGAGAATGAGGAGTGGGCTGCTTACCGCCACCAGCAGGTGGAGTGTCCAACTTTTAGCGGCGACGATCCCGACGGCTGGGTGTTTTGAATGGAGCAGTTCTTTTCCATCAACTGTTGCTCGGAAAAGGAAAAACTGATCACTACCGGCATAGCTTTAGAGGGAGACGCCTTATCTTGGTTCTAGTGGCAAAATGGTTGCCGACCTTTTCACGGCTGGACAGACTTCAAGTTGTCACTATTACAGCGTTTCCGTTCTTCGCAGGCAGGAAATCTTTGTGAGAAGTTTTTGGCGATCTAACAAGAAGGAATAGTGGCGGAATATCGTAGGCAATTTGAGGTTTCTGCAGCTCCGCTTCAAGATGTTCCGGAAGAAATTTTGGAAGGAATCTTCGTAAATGGTTTAAAGGCGGAGGTTCGGGCTAAATTGCAGCTCTTGAAACCGGTTAGTTTAGGCAAAATTATGGAGATAACGCAGAGGATCGAAGAGAAGAATGAATTGCTTTGTTGAGAGGTCTCGGGAACAAGAATGTCAAGACCACAATTTCCTAGTGGTCCAAGGGCTGAATTCACTACATTTCCCGCTAGGACATTATCATGAGTCGAGCGTCCACCGCGAGCTCCAGCCACTTTGGATAAAATAGTAACTCAAAAGCGAGACTTTCCTTTTCACAAGTTGTCGGACTCCGAGTTACAAGAGAAGGACTGAGGGTTGTGTTTTAGGTGAGATGAGAAGTTCACTTTGGGGCATCGTTGTAAGAGGAAGGAGCTCCGAACCATGTTGGTTAGCGATGATGATGCAACTGATTGTGAAGAGGAAGATCCTGACATGTCTAAGACCGTTTGGGAGGAGGGGTAGCCCGAGCTTATTGAGTTGTCCTTGAATTCCGTGGTTGGGCTTTCGACACCAAAGACTGAAGATTTTGAGGAAGAAATAATCTTCTATTTTTTATCATTGAAATAATCAGTAACCTTTATACACTTATATACAAGATTTACATAACTAATAAAGGTAACAAATCCCTACAAATAAGGGAAGGATAATCTTCTCCTAAACCTAAGGAATCCGAATTCTCTAATTCCATGATTTCCTCCTATATGTAATTCTAGATAACTTTGAGGGAAATTCCACACTCCCCCTCAAGTTGGGTTGTACATATTGTACATGCCTAACTTGTTGCATAGTTCCTCAAAGTTAGGTCCTGGGAGCGCCTTTGTCAAGATGTCTGCCAGTTGTTCCCAGGTAGGAGTGTAGATCAACTGCACCTATGAGTTCTCAATCTTCTCTGCTATAAAATGTCAATCTATCTTCACATGTTTCATTCTATCATGATGAACTGGGTCCTTTACGATACTAATAGTAGCCTGATTATCGCACTTAAGTGTCACCGACTTCTCAAACTCCAACCCCAACTCGGTCATAACTCTCCTGATCCATATTCTTTCACAGATTGTTACTGCTAAGGCTCTTAGTTCAGCCTCTGCACTGCTTCTGGAAACCACAGTCTGTTTCTTACTTCTCCATGTTACAAGATTCCCCCAGACTAAAGAGCAATACCCTGTGGTTGACCTCCTGTCTACCTGGCTTCCTGCCCAGTCTGCATCGGAGTATAGAGCTATATTTCTGCAATCGTTTTTCTTAAACAATAACCCTTTTCCAGGGATCATCTTTAGATACCTGAGAATTCTGTACACGGCTTCCATGTGTTCCTCCATCGGATGGTTCATAAACTGACTTACGACACTCACTACAAAACCAATGTCGGGCCGGGTAGGAGAGATAAATGAGCTTCCCTACTAGACGCTAATATCTTCCTATGTCTACTGGAGTTCCTTCCTCTTCATACCCTAACTTTTTTGTAGAGTCCATAGGGGTGCTTGCAGGTTTACATCCTAGCATGCCGGTTTCTTTAAGTAAATCCAGGGTGTATTTGCGCTGAGAGACCACTATTCCCATTTTTGATCGAGCCACTTCCATGCCTAGGAAGTACCGTAGAGGACCAAGATCCTTTACTTCAAATTTTTAGCTAAGAATCTTTTAATCTTCAGTAACTCTTTCCTCATAATCTCCAGTTAGAATGATGTCATCAACATACACAATGAGAATAGCTACTTTTCCCTTGGAAGAGCGCTTTACGAAGAGTGTGTGATCAGCTTGACATTGAATAAATCCGTGTTCCTTTACAAACCTTGAGAATCTACCAAACCACGCTCGTGGGGATTGCTTAAGTCCATACAGAGACTTCAATAACCTGCACACCTTATTGTTGCTGTTGCTTATTTGTAGACCCTAAGGAATCTCCATGTAAACTTCCTCGTCGAAATCTCCGTTAAGGAAGGCGTTCTTTATATCAAGCTGATGAAGTTGCCAGTCCAAGTTGGCTGCTAATGAGAGTAGTATTCGAATGGTGTTAAGCTTTGCAACAGGAGCAAAAGTCTCCTGGTAATCAACCCCATAGGATTGAGCAAAGCCCCTTGCTACTAACCGAGCCTTAAGCCTCTCAATGCTTCCATATGCTTTGCGCTTCACGGTAAAGACCCATTTACAACTCACCTTTTTCTTTCCTGGCGGGAGTTCAGTAATAGTCCATGTTCCATTCCTTTTCAAGGCCATGATCTCCTCTTGGACTGCTTGTTTCCAACCTGGGTGACTCAGAGCCTCTTGAATGTTTGCTGGAATTTGCACATTATCCAGCCCTGAAGTAAAGGCTTGATAGGATGGAGAGGGACCTGCATATGATATAAAATTCTTGATTGGATGTTGAGTACAGGTTCGAGTACCTTTCCTTACGGCAATGGGCAGTCCCAAATCTGAGTCTCATGTGATCCTTTTTGTTTCGGCTCATTTCCACCTCCTGTGCCAGTTTCTGCAGTCATTGGATCCGGTTTAGACTCTTGGACAGGTATGAGATGTGCTAAGTTTTCAATCTCCCCCTGAGGTTGCTTTTTCCTCCTGGTGTATACTTGAAGTTCTTTAGTTGCTGGTAGAGGACAGAACAGACTCAAAGAAGGAATATTGGGAGGATTAGCTGAAGCTTCAGGTACAAGGACTGGACTGGATGGAGACGTTTCTGGCTGGTTTGATGGTACCCGGACTGGACTGGACATAGGGCTAGACTCGGCATTTTGTGGCTGTATATTTGGACTAATTTCTGGCTGTTCTAGCAAAAAATCCCAACTCCAAAGCTGAAGTTCTTTCTGAGTATTCTCCCCCTGAATTTTAGTTTTGGAGAAATAAGGAGTTTTTTCAAAGAAAGTCACATCCATTGTGTCATAAACTCTTCCTGTGCTGGGACAAAAACACTTATAACCTTTCTTATTTGTGGAATAACCGAGAAAGACACATTTTATGGACTTTGGATCAAGTTTACTCCTGTTTTTGGGGAATATATGGACGAATGCAGAACACCCAAAAATTTTAAAGGGAAGATCGGAGGAGAGAACCCGAGCATGAGGGAAGATTTTAATGAGGGCTTGACGGGGTGTTCTAAATTTTAGAACACGAGATGGCATCCTATTGATGAGATATGCAGAAGTAAGAATGGCTTCCCCCCAAAGATATTTTGGAACACCAGTAGAAAACATAAGGGATCGGGCTACTTCTAACAGGTGACGGTTT